AGTGTGGCCAAGAGGACTAGGGAAGTGATCGTCTCCGTGTACTCAGCACTGGTGAGGCTGCACCTCGTACACCGTGTTCAGTTTTTGGCCCCTCACTACAGGAAAGACCTTGAGGTGCTGGAGTGAGTCTAGAGAAGGGCAAGAAAGCTGGTGAAGGGCCTGGAGCACAAGTCTGATGGGGAGTGGCTGAGGGACCTGGAGTTGTTTAGTCTGGAGAAGAGGAGGCTGAGGGGAGACTATATCACTTTCTACAACTACCTGAAAGGAGGTTGTAGCGAGGTGGGGGTCGGTCTCTTCTCCCAGGTAACCAGTGATAGGACAAGAGGAAATGTCCTCAAGTTGTGCCAGGGGAGGTTTAGATTGAATATTAGGAAAAATTTCTTCACCGAAAGGGTTGTCAAGCATTGGACCAGGCTGCCCAGGGAAGTTGTTGATTCACCATCCCTGTAGATATTTAAAAGATGTGTAGATGTGGTGCTTAGGGACATGGTGTAGTGGTGGACTTGGCAGTGCTAGGTTTACGGTTGGATTCGATGATCTTAAAGGTTTTTTCCAACCTAAATCGTTCTCTGATTCTCTGAATTTTTTCTTTTACTGGACAGCAGTCCCTCCAGTGTTCAAGCACATAAGTGCATCTGTCCAAGTCTCACTGGAATTACTGGTAGTAACTCCGTGGTCAAGAGATGCAGTCCTTCAAGCCCTCTTCATGTCTTTTGTATTGTATTCTTAGCTTGAGGACAGTATGCTCATTTTGTATATGTTTTTCTACCCTTTAGATGACAGTGAGTGTGATCTTGTCCCACATCTGAGTCGTTAGGCAGCACTGCTGATTTTTACACTTTCTTTTTCTCCTTATCTGAGTCAATCTTGGGGCTCCAGACTTCTGGTTTATTTTCCCATTACCAATCTGTCCTTTGCTTTAATCCTTTTCCTGAGTTAGGTATTCTGAGAAGCTACTTAAAGGTCTCTGTGGTCTTTCTGGCCTGCCCTTGTGATATCAACACATAGCCATTCCTACCACTCTGTTCTTTCTGGCGCTTTGACACCATTGTGTTCTTATTGGTATGGTCTTAGCTGAGCTAGCTAGGATTGCATTTGGTGCTTGGAAGTCTCATTTTTCTCCTTTCTTAGAGGAAGAACCTTCCTCTAAGACAGCATAGTATCTATCACCTTGAAGATTTTAAAAAAAAAAAGATGAAAAGGTGTAGAAAGAGGAGTTTCTTGAAGACAAGGTATGGGTCAAGCTGTGGGTAAAGTTAGTCTTAAAATTTAAGTGTAAAATTTCAAAACTATGTGTTGATTATAGGGAAGAATGTTACTGTATAGAAGTGCAAATATGGGAAAGTAATGCAGAATTAAAACATCCTGTTTGGTGATAATGAGGGAGTTTGTGCAATGTATTTATTGATGAATACCAGTCTCTTCCTGTAATGTGGCTATTTTGTAATACTGTTTTGTTGAAGTTATTTGTTTAACCACAGTAGGCATTCGGATGTGCTTCTATGACACAGAGATACTTCTCAGATTAATAAGGACCCTGAAAAAGCAGAACTTCTCTTTGGCATGGAATCATACACTTTCTCTTCTGCATTATTCCTATGTTGAATGAATTTGGTGTCTGCAGACTGCTTGCTGCCAGAGTCCAGTACTTTCTGACCAGGTTCTTTTGGATCTTCCACATATGGAGAGTGTAGTATTTAATACCAGATTTACTTATTCGAAGACAGTTGATGCTATATTGGATTTCTGATATAGGAGAGTGATACAAAATATACTGAAAACAATACAAATCTAAGTTACGCTTGGCAAAATACAGCAATTGCAATACACAGTTCAGTCACAATACTGATGTGATTCCCATTACTGGTCTCTATAATATGCTCACTGTCGCGATGCTGGCTTCCTTAACCACTGCAAAGGAATACCTGGGTTGAAAGTAGCTCAAGCCCATTGCTTTCTTCGAAATTCTTTTGCTCGTTGTTTAGCTTTTATACTCTCATGTTGGGCTGAGCCTCATATTCACTTCCTCCACGCTAGCCTGGCTAACTCGAGGAGACATTTACACCACCATTTGATCCACTCAACTGTTATTTAGCTGTTTACCTAAAACAAAGGCCATCCAGTAGTACCCTCTGTGTTGAGCTAAAGGGAGCTCCCTTGCATTATCAGCAGGGCTCCTTGGGCACATCACCCTTGCCCATCTTGACAGAGTGTTTCATCCGTTGAGCTTCTTTCAGTCACGTTCCACCCTTAGGGGTTTGGTCAGTTACAGCTGCTGACCTGAGCATTAGTGGTCAGAATAACATATTCTTGCATTTAATAAGTAAAGAAATGGGTATAAACTGCTCTCTTCAGATGTTACTTGGGTGACAGACATTATTTGGGGAAGAAAATTTCCTGAAGATACTAACCAGTCAGAAAAGAGGCTTATGGGGGGAACACTTTTGGAACAGTTGTCATAGTTATGCGGTTTTCTGTTTGGGAAATTAAAAAAAAGTACTAGAGGAACATTAGAACTAAAAGAGGAGAACTGATGTTAAGTAACTGCATTTGGCTTAGTGTTATTGTATTGACTAGCTAGACTAATGGGAAAAAGATATTTTGCTACCCAGAAACTTCCTGTATTGCATATTAGTATTCCTTCCTGCTTCCCCAAGCAAAATAAAATGATAAAATCCCACCAGTCTGAACAATATCTTTTAGAAAATAACTCGCTCTGTTTGTATGACTTTTATGTTCATAAGTTAGAGGGAAAGATCAGTTCTTTGTAAAATAAATCATTAAGGCCTTTCACATAAGGAGATCTAGTGCACTCTTTGCCATACCGTGGCTGCATGTTCAGTAAGTTCTTTTACTGAATCAAAATCTGGCTTTACTAAAAAATTCAAAATGTTTATTTGATCAAAATGAGGTCTATTCTGCAGAAAGATGCATGTATTTGGTTCCAGTGGGACGTTAAGTTATTTCTGGAAATGTTACTTATCCGAGACCTGAGGTTGGGAGAAGGAAGCAGTAATACTTTTACATTTATGATCTCAAAGTAAGTAGTTATGTACTAGTTTGTTGATGATCTACTACGTGCTGCCCTGTGAACAATAAGCAGACTTTCATTTTCATTGCTTGCAGTTATATAGGAGAAAAAAAAAATTAGCTCTTTGAATGGCTTAATTTTTTGGGGTATTTTTTTACAGCTAAGAGGAATTTCTCATATTATTAGTGAAGACTTGGACTATATGACAGTTTTTCAATATGCAAGTTTCACTCCAGGAAAACTGATGACCTTCAGTTATAGAATCACAGAATCATTATGGTTGGAAGAGACCTAAAAGATCATCAAGTCCAACCATATACCCGATGCCACTATGCTCGCTAAACTCATTAAACCATGTCTTGAAGCGCCACATCTAAATGTTTTTTGAATGCCTCCAGGGATGGTTAGTCCACCACCTCCCTGGGGAGCCCGTTCCAATGCCTAACAACTTATAGTGTTCTGTAAGTTCTTCCTCTTGTCATTAGTTTACTTTTTTCTAAGCTTAGACCTATGATTGGTTGTGATTGAGTATGATGGATTCTGAGATTTTTCTAGTATGTATTATACAAGGTCTTCTAATAGGTTTCTCTTGTGAGGATTTTTTGCTGTCAAATTTTTTTGTGATGCCTGGAAAAATTAGTTGTTTTTCACTCAGAATTCATGCCAATGAAACTGCTTACTGTATTTCCTTTAAAGTATCTTTGTAGTAACAAATTAAAAGTTAAACAATCTGTACTTCTTCGTGCTTCTAACAGATTTCTACATAAAATAAGTCTGGTCAGCATGTAACCTATGCTTTTTTTTTTATTTTTCCTTCTGTTCCCTCCAGCGAAAATGCCATATAATAAGAGGACTGCTGGAAAAAGAGCCCCTGCAAAAAGGAAACTTGCTGAAGTGTTTGCTCTAGGGGAGGTTCTAGCAGATACATCAAGAAAAGAATGGAAATTAGGTATCCCTATAGGGCAAGGAGGCTTTGGACGCCTGTACCTTGGTAAGTGTAGTTATCTTTCATAATGCTTTAAAATAGAGAGTGAGATGTTTATCCTTATTCAAAGTAATGAAAAATTGATGATAAGTTAGAAATGCAGAGTGTCTTCAAGTGATCTTTTTTTACTGGAACCTTAGCTTGGCTCATGGTGTTGGAGAAAAATGACAAGTGGACAAATGGTCATTGTAAGCACTGTGGTTGTACAAGAATCCAGTGGTAGTTAATTCATTTTTTAAAAGCCAAACTCTATATTATTTTTTAGCTGTGAAAGGATACTTTAGTGTTTATTTAGATTTGATTTTTGGTCTGACTGAAAGAAGGGATTTTTGCATGACTGTCCTTATATCACAAATTCTGAACTGAAACTGTCGAAGCATATTCTGTGGAGGCTACTGACCAGCCAGTGTTTTGGTTAGTTTTGACTTTGGTGCTGCTTGTGACTTTCGTTGCCTTGTGAACTTCTGACATAAGTCATGTACTTTTTTTATGTAACCAGTGCTTAAAACAAATTGAAATCTTGCACTTTACAGTTCAAAGCATCAGCACAGATCTTGTTTTGCAATGTTGTTTATTGAATTCAAGGAAAACTTCTTTTAGTGGATAGTGTTCCATACTTAGTATCTCTATTATTTGAACAGGTGAGAGAGGTCTTGAGGATGCCTCAGGGAATTAAAACAACTTGGTTGCCCGTAGTCATTTTCCAAACAACTTTGAAGGGGTGAAAGTTAATGTGATAATGATAATAAGGTTTTCTTTTGCTGTGCATTTATGGTCTTCCTCCTCTTGGTGAAAAACTTGCACTGAATTCATACGGGGTTGAAAAAACAAGTTAATAATCCGTCCTACTTTCAAAATGAACAGACTGCAGCATAAGTGGATTAAGAAGAAAACCAGGACTGTGGGTGGCTTCTTGCCGAAGAAGCTCTCTACTTCTTACTCAGCCTTGCTCAATGAGCTACTAAATTTTCTGAGACTGGAGTTCCAGCTCACCCAAATTGTGTAGTTCTTCGTGTTAAGAATTCCTGCTTTGTTCAAGCCAAAGCTTGCTCTCTGCTTCCCCATCATTTGCACAAAGCCGTGCCCCTGACTGTTTCTGTACTTCGTGTTGCCTAACTTGATGTCCTTCATACCTATATCTCCTTCTGTCAGGTGTATCAACAACTTGGTAGCAACAGAAAGTCACTTTTTGATATGTGACATGGCAAAATAGTAGAGAGAATGTGTTTTTCATCTTTGTGTCCACAACTGTGTATGTTCATCACAGTCCTAGAAAACAAAAGAAATGCTATTGACTAGGAAAAAATTATTGAATATTAAAAAAGAACTTTTTTATTTAGTAAACTGCTTGTATTCTTCAAAGAGACGGGAGAATGCAAGACGATATCCATATAGATTAGTCGTGCCATATAGAGTAGTTCTGTTACCAAAGTGTAAGGTAGTGATATATGTTCACACCAGTACTTAATTGCTTTGTCATTTGTTTGTCCATGCTGCATAGCAAATAAGTGTATGTTTTGTGACAATTTCCTCTCCTACTACTAATAAATACTTCCTTTTTAACAGCTGATGTTAATTCTTCAAAGTCGGTTGGCAGTGATGCACCTTATGTTGCAAAAGTGGTAAGATAGCATTTGAATCTCTACTTCACAACTTGAAAATGTTTGTTCTAGAATAGCACATGTAATTTAAAACATCTTCTGACTGGAAATAATACAACTGAGTAGTGCTGTTTAAAATAAAAGTGTGGTGATGTAGAGGAACACTGCTGAGAATTGGGCCTCCTATGTATGAGGGTGGATAATGTAACATCAGTGGAGTTGAAAAAGGTTCATGAAATGGATCAGATTCTGTTTCATTTGTTGCTTCCTGTAAACAGCCCAAATATCACAAAATGAATGAAATCTGGCTAGCTTTTGGAGAATTTCTGTGATTCAGCAGTGAGTCTGTGTGAACTGTTCCTCACCACTGGATGTTGGTAAGGTGACAGATGGCTTGGGAGTAGAAACAGCAAAACTTTGATTCCCGAGGTACCCAGATATAGAGTCCTTTAAATGTTTTATGGTAAAACACATACATGTTCTAATTTCTGTTGAATTAAAATGGCATTACACATAATTTTTTACCCTAATGATTAGAGAGAAGAAAAAGCATTGTTGATAGCTTATTTTTAGCCCTTGTAGCAAATCAGCAAATTCTTTCTATTAGTTGAAATTTACTTATATTTTTAATCTTAATTTTTAATTTTAAATTTTTAAATTTAATTTTTAATCTTAAAATAAAAAAGATTTGTTTAACTTGATTTGGCTATTATGTTATCTTCCTGAGGTATAAAGTATTTTTTCTTAAGTTTTGCTAGATTATTTTGTATAGATCCTACTATTATATATGAGTGCCTGGTAAGGTCTTAATAAAAACCTGGGAATTTGGGAATAGCTATAGTAGGTCATTCATCTTGGTGCTACTTCTGATCCTGAGTCAAAAGCAAATACCAGAAAACTGTACAAGAACTTCACAATGTAAAAAATTAGTTCTTCAGCACAGTTCAAAACTGCAGTGTTTTAATCTTTTATTTATTAAACTATATGGTGATACTGAAATGCTTTACCACAATAGCTGGGCACTTATGTAAATATGTTAATACTTTTAACATTTGTTCCTGAAACTAAAGAGATCAGGTTAATTTAGAATAAAATACATTTTAGTTAGTATGTGCCTTTAATCTTGATATTTATATCTGCTGACTACAGGGAAATTCTAGAGTACTGGTTTTGATACTGTTCAGACACCCCAAGGTTCTGTTGGTAATGACCCTCTTTCCAAAATGTTGTCACTTGCTGAAAAAAGCACTGCTTACGATGCAAATGTCAAACTACCACACTTTCCACATCAGCATACAGCTGCTGCCTTAGGTGGTTGTGGGCAGGAATTCCACATAGACCAGGAACCCCAGCCTGCAGCTGTTGCATGGTGACAGCCTGCTTCTGTATGTCCAACCTGAGGGTAGGGGGTGTCCATTATGCAGGAGCTGGGGCCTGTTTTAGAGGCAGGTAACAGACATTCAAGTTAGCAGCAGCAGCTAACCTGTGAGAGGCAGTGGCTCTTAATTACTGGCTCCTGATGAGTTTGGACTGATCAGGAAGGGGAGGACCATTTAACTTTCATGGAAGAATCCAGTTTGACTTGCTTGGAAAATCATCATAAATGCATATTATTTTATGCTGTGCGTAATTGCTATCCTCCTCTTTCCAAGAGTTTGGAACTTGTCCATCTGCTTCTCTTCTCCTTCACTTTGGGCTCTGAATATAAGAGTTGCTGTAACTCTTGGGTTGCTTTTGTGCTAATTTCACTTTGTTGTTGTAATTTGTAAATACCTCCATTGATAATCTTCCAGATGACTACTCACTTTTAATTTGTCTTTTATAATTTTGTCTTTATGGCAATAAAGAGTAGCCTCAGTCTTTGTGCTGCCCTCACAAATGACCCATAATGTATTATGCCTCTTCAGTCTAGTATAACACAGCTATGGATAAGGGCCTATTTCCTGATGCCTGGGTGATTGCTAGTTCATCCATCAACTGAAGCAAAGTTAACAGCTTTGAACAATTATTAGTGTTTAACAAAATATGTGCTTCTATAGTAATGTTCTTCAAATGAAGCTATTAAAGTAGGATGGAAATTGGCTTAGTCTTTGACATATCCTCATAGTATTGGTGTCTGAGCAGTACGAAATGAATCACAGTTTTTATTAAAAAAAGAAATGCTTTTTAACATGTGGACCTTTCAGATGTCATTGTTCAGGAGTGGATGCAGAGTTTAATAACACTTCATTAAATTGCTGACTGAAAAAGATCGGAATTCTTAAAATACTAATTGAAGAAATTTGTTGGGTTTCGACATGTACTCCGTAATCTCTTTCATTATGATATCTTTTCTAATTAGACTTTAATTTCAGTTTTGCAAATCATGTGTTTAGAATGACCCTGGGCATGAAGTTGTAGAAATTTGTGTTTGAAGTCTTCCTGGTTTTAGCATATTACAAGATTACTAGTATGGCAAATATTGGACATCATTACATGAGCCTTTTTAACATAGCGTATACATTTATTTATCTGTATGTAGAATTAATGGTATTATGGGGAAACAGCTTCATAGTCAACATGAAGATCTATTTTGTGGTTAAATCATTTGTCTGTCCCCTCAAGTATGAAAAGATACCAGATTTTCAGCATTTGCTCTGACTAGAGAAAGGTTTTTTTTTTTCAGCACTGACATATCATTTTTTGTGGAATATTTTATTTAAGGATAAATATTTTAAGAATTTTTAACACCTACAGTTTTTTGCTGTATTTTAGTAAGAAAATAATGTTCTTCAAACCTATGTAAATTGAATCAAAATATTATGTATAAATAATATTCTAATTAAGTTAGAGTATTAATGGATTATGCTACACAGAAACAAGTGGATAGGTCAACCTTTGTTCAAGATAACTGCAGTGTAAGAATTCAGCTTTTTAACCCTTTTCCTCTGTATATAGAATAGCTATATCACTAATTTGTTGTCCATAGTAGATAAATAAACTAACTGAAAGTAAATACGCATGTACTAAAGTTTACGTGCATTGATCAGTTGGTCTAGTTAGGGTTTTTTTTTTCCTCCTTCATGGCTTAAGTCTGAACATTGGTCCCACAAGGAGGGGCCAGAAAACTGTTGTCTTGTCTTCACTGTTTATCAGGGCAATGCTGCTGGAGGGTGAGGTGGAGATAGGTGATAGCTTTGTAATCAAGTGTCCAGGCCTGGGAGTGGTGCCTCAGCCGATATCTGCTGTCATTCTGACCAGTCTTCCTACTCTGCCTCTGAGCCAGTACATCAGATGCACACTAATGCCCATGTTCATCGGTGTGTTTGATCTCTTTACCTTGCTTCGTTAATGTCGGAAAGCAGTAAACCTCTAGTGGCTGAGTAATATGCTCTGGCCTTTGGCAATTTTCTGGATTGCTACATCTGCATTTAAAAGTTACAATTAAAACCATTTAGGATTGATGTTATACATTTTGGAACTTTTGCTAATGTCATGTGATTGTATTCTTTCTAGGTTTCTTTGCCAGTAATCACATACTTTTTTTGGGTAGTTTTTTTTAAGCGTAGGATATTCCAAAACAGGTATTTTCAATGAGATAGAATGAATTTAGACATATATGAGTAACTAGACTAAAATAAATTGCTTAAGCTTATCTCAAAATCAATCACTTAGAAATTGCAAGATTTGAAATCACTTTTTTTTTTTCTGCACTGAGTTCTGGAAATGTGGAGTCAAGGTACTTACCCATTTGCAATTCTTGCAGTATTTCAAAGCTTTGGTGTTTTCAAACCAATTTCTCTCTTGCACTTTACTTGTAATACATGGTTTGCCATAGGTTTGTCCCTAGAAAAGGGAACTGAAATACCTTATGTTAGTTTAAATACAAGGTAGACTCTGAAGTCAAAATAGATGGAGTTCTTATAATTTAGTTTAAGAGAACTTGTGAAAGTCTCTGTAATTTTTACCTTGATCAACTAATGTATGAAGGGAACAAAATACCTTATGTTCAGCAAGAATTGAACCTTTGTTAAGATTTTTCCATCAAATCATTTCAGGTGTTATTTTAGGTTCACTAAAGGCTATTGCAACTGATGCAATCCAGCTTTAATCTGGAATATTTGAGATAAGGGATGTTGTTTAATACTATGCTAAAATTTTGCTGCCAAATGTTGGTAATATTTCTATATATTTCAGTTAATTTGTTATTCTTTAGTCTTTTGTTTTAGGAAAGAATTCTTTGATACCCTTAATGTTAAGCAATTTATAATAAAAATACATTTTTAGGGCCAACCCTCTTTTATAAAAAGAACATACTCTATTGAATTTATCAGCACTCGGTAGAGCATTTGAGGGAGAATATGTTTTCATAGGGTGAATGTTTTGTGAGCTTTTAGTAATTATTAGGCACTAACACAGCAGTGTTTAACTAATTTTAAATTGTCTTAAAGGAACCCAGCCAGAATGGACCTCTTTTTACTGAGTTAAAGTTCTACATGCGAGCTGCTAAGCCAGATGAAAGTAAGCAGTCTATTAAAATGTTTTTAATGAACTACAAACATTTAGGAAAATAGAGCCTGCAGGAATAAGGTTGAACTTAAAGAGAATCTTTTTAGGTCATTGTCAAAATTATTTTTAAATTATTGAAATCTAAGTTAGACATACAGTAAAATTAAGGGTTTTTGGTAAGATGTTCTTTATAGTTGTGTGGAGGGTATTATCTAAATTGAAACTTGCATCTCTGTCCCTACAACAGATGTGTCATTAACTTTTCAGTATACTTTGCATACAAATTTCCATGAAATAAGCAGCTCACATGTATGCAGGAACTGTAAGTGATGTGAGTACTCCCTTTTTATGTAAGTCTCTACTGATGTGAATTCATGAATTTATCTTTATTTGTATTTTCAGTTCAGAAGTGGACTAAGTCCCATAAACTGAAATATTTAGGTGTACCAAGATATTGGGGTTCTGGCTTGCATGAAAAAAATGGAAACAGGTGAATATATCATTTGTTGGCATGTCCTGGGATTGATTTCATCCACAATCACTATCCCTTTTAACCTAATTTACTTTCTAAGATGTGTTTTCCACCCGTCTTCATCTTCTTCATTTCTGCTACAAAGTTTCATATTCCTAACAGACTGTGTTTAAGGAATAGCTGAATAGATACATTTTATCTGTATTCTGTTTGTTGCACGCATTTGTGTCTGTTACATTCTTCCTGATTTAGTTTTCATTTGTTTGGATCATTGCTGTAATACAGTGATGATATATATCTCTATCTCTCTATATATCTGTGGTTTAGAAGCTTTTCATATTTGAATTAAAGTTAACTTCTAATGTGTAAGTCCTTGAATAATATGACTACCTTTAAAGTTATCCTTCTGGTGTGGTATGCACTTAAAGACTATTTTCACTCATGCAATTAAAGGACTTAGTGCTCTTTCTAAATCTATTTTATTTTCCCTAGGGGTAGTTTTTTTGAGTTAATCTGTGAGCTAGAATAATTGCTAGTCTCATGTTAAATTTGTCTTAAGTCTAGCGATAGTTTGTAGTGTTGTTCCATGTCATGAAGGGTTTTTGTTTCTTGATCTTGAATGTTATGCCTGTTTATTTAACAGTCCTTGTTTCCTAGTGGGCTTTCTCTAAGCAGCTGTGCTACAAAGGAGTTTTAGTAGTTCTCTGGCAGCTTATAGTAGGTCAGGATTCTTTGTGTGGACCACTACATAAGGCAGTTAGTATGTATGCCCTAGGATATCAGAAATATCATTGATTCGGTAGGTCCTCAACTTTTAAAACTAAACTAATGTAAAAACAACATTAATTTTGAGAGGCAAAAATAAATATAACAATTATTATTTTTCCCCAACAAACTTTTACTTGCAATCAGTGTTTAATACATGAGTTTTTTAATATAGCCACTATGAACTGTCACAGTAACGGAACCGGTTTGGCTATAGCAATGAATATCAGAACACCTTTGGCAAGTGAGAGATTTTTGTTTTAATAATAGGTTAAAAAAAAAGGTTGCAATAGATTTCAAGAAACACACTTTTAAAGTAATCATAAGTCACTTAGTAATTTATAAAGTAGAAAAATGTATTTTTGTAAGTAATTGATACTTGGATTTACCTATAGTGAATTACAACATAGATGTTTTCTCCAGAGGGTACTCGTTATTGTATTGCCTAACTAGCCAGGAATAAAGAACAGTTCTTTTGATGGATGAACTTTTGACTAGCTAATGTAAAAAAGTTAAGAATTGATGTACAACGTTTTTAAAAAGTCAGGTATTTCCCACATAATGGTTTTCTGTGTACCTGAAGTTTACCTTTTGAGAGAGATATTTTCAATCAGTAATTTGTACAGTTATCACATAGATAAAATACTTTGCTAAGTACAATTCAGTAACTTTTTTTTTTTTTTTGCCTTGAATGTAGTTATCGATTTATGATAATGGACCGATTTGGCAGAGATCTTCAGAAGATGTATGAAGAGAATGGAAAACGATTTTCCCATAAAACTGTACTACAATTAGGCCTGAGAGTAGTAAGTTTAAAAAATGTATTATATTTTTACAATCTGGCTTCCCCATGTAAGTCTTTCGGTTAAATCACACTTTTGTGCTGAGTACAGGTCCTCTGCTGGGTGGACTTGAGTACTGCACTTATGTGACTATTTTGTTTTGTTAGCTTGATATTCTGGAATACGTCCATGAGCATGAATATGTGCATGGAGACATCAAGGCCTCAAACCTTCTTCTGAGTTACAAGAACCCTAATCAGGTATTTCTGCTGCATTTTATTCCTTATGTTTTAAACCTTCTATTTGACAACACCTGGAAGTGCTTTGAACCTGTGAAATCTAGCAGAAGCTCATTTTTAAGAATGTATATGGTAACATTATTTCTGCTTGACATTTATATCTAGTTAATATTCTACAGTTTTTTTAATGCATTTTCCTGGGCAGTTATCAAATTGACTATTTGGCCTAAATAATATTCTAGAGAAATTCTCAAGATTAAAAAAAAAAAAAGACTCACAAATAGGCATTTGCAGGTGGAAGCTTAAAATTATATAGCACACTGGTAAATTATGTTTGCCTGTCTGCATTGTTACCTCATTCCTTTGTTTAAGAAACCCATTAGATAAGTGTTCTGTTACTTGGAAAAATTGGTCTTTAAAGTGTTGATTGTTCCACCTGATTTACGGAAGTCTTTCATTTTTCTGCATTTTTAATTCACTTTACTATTCAAACAATGCATATTAAAGTTTCAGAATTATATATATCTTCTTGCCCAAATGTTTTAGCTCATGAAATAAGTAACATAATCTCAGTTCTTACAGTAACTGTGGTGTTAGTGAGAAGTAATAGTATGTAGTAGTGTTCAAATGGGACAGCTGACTTTAAAGAGGGTAGGACAGTAAGTGTATAACTCTATGAATGTTATGTCTCTTTTCTTTATTTGCATTTAATCTTACTGGTAATAACTGACTTACTGTACTTGTCCTCAGCATCACAAGAAATGACTTCCAGATCAGACTGCTATATGGAAAACAATAAAACCTATCTGACATGTTGTTTTCAAATCATATGTAGTAATCTCAGTAAAGCACTGAGAAAGGATAATTTGAAGTCAAAAAACTCACCATTTTAAGAAGTTATAAGAATGACTGGGAGTTACATTTATTGTTTGCATATTTTTTGTATTTATAGTTCTTTAATCTTAAAATTCTTTGTGGAAATTACTAGGTGTACTTGGTGGATTACGGACTTGCCTACCGATACTGTCCTGAAGGAGTTCACAAAGTATATAAAGAAGACCCCAAAAGGTGTCATGATGGAACTATTGAATATACCAGTATTGATGCACACAAGGGTGTGGGTAAGGATGTAAAACTGTTCTCAGCAATAGGCATTTGTGCATCCTCTTTATAAATACAAAAGACTTTATTTGCTGGGTTGAGTTTTGTAACAACCAGTTTCTGAATCTATAAATATTTTTTTTTTCTTCTCTATGGACTATACTGGAATTTTTCTTTTTTTCCATTTACTAACTTTTACTTTGATATTAATCTAGTGTAGTTTTAATGTAACTTTCTTAAATAGAGTTCCTTAATTTATAAAGACTGTTAAGATGTTTAGTGTATTGCTTTTTATTAAGAAGGTAGAAATGCAATAGTGCGTGTGAGATCTTGATAGAAAAACAGACCCTGTTTTCAGGAGGTAAATAGTTTGTTACCAGTGTGAACGTTGTTCCTTCATATTTGGCAAAGATGCACAGTATTCTTTATCTTGTTTGTAGCTTAATATTTAGAAGATTTTTCAACAAAAGTTCATTTAATTATGAAGTATTGTTTCATAATTATGCCTGTAATCACTGAACATCAAAAGGCAAGAAGTGAGAAACAGTTGAACATTAAAATGACAGGTCTATGTCCAATTAAACATTCAGGATTTATAGTGAACGCTAATTTTATTTTCTTCGTTCTTAAATTTTGTTTGATTAGCGTAAAAATGTGTCCTGCAAAAATATCAGTTGTTGAAAATTATTTACTTCAGGATGAACTGTTGCACCTTTGCTTAAAACCGAACATGAACAAAGATGATTTGCCCGTTTATACTTGCAGCGTAGTCTGTGGTCAATGTACGTGTGGGTAGTTTGTTTTTTTGTTTTGTGGGTTCTTTTGTTGTTTTTTATTTTGGGTTTTTTGGTTGGTTTTTGTTGTTTTTTGTTGGAGTTCTTTTGGGTTTTTGGTTGGTTTGGTTTTTTTTTTGGCAAGGCTTAGGGATCTGATCTGTTATTGTCCTCTGTTCAGTTTTCAGACCACATAAAATATTTCAGCATCATGGAATATTTTTTTTCAGGAGATGGGATTTTGATTTCAGCACTATTACCTTTTTATAGAAGAGGGGAAGTAAAACCTGTTTTGAACAGAAAGTCAATCACTTCACTAACTTGCTCTATTTTTTCCACAATCTAAGTACTTAAAAAGCTTCCCAAATTGGGATAGCTGCAGCATGTCATATCCTTGAATAGAAGAGATTGATAAAGGACTTGAAAATTAAGTTATCCTTGCAGATGTAGGAACTATATTTTTTCCTTCTTTGCTTTCACGCTAAAATAAATAAATAACAGATACAGTAGTGTTACATTGTTAGCATTAGCTTTCTATTGTCTTAACATATTTACAAATTTTAACTGTTGTTAAATTGTGTGTGCTTTTTTAGCTGCTCTTACAGTTCTTTTTTTATGTGTGCATGTGTGTTTAGCACCATCGAGACGTGGTGATCTGGAGGTCTTGGGTTACTGTATGATTCATTGGCTTAGTGGCCATCTACCATGGGAGGATAATTTGAAAGATCCAAACTTTGTCAGAGACTCAAAAATCAGGTGAGAAACTACTTGTTTTCTTTCTCTTTTGAAACTGAAAATAGGAATGAAAGTGTCTTAGTGTAGAAATGCTTTGTACTTTCAGTATGTTCCCTTTTGGTGAGTAGGTTATTGTTTTATATACCTTGCAGTGTCCCTTCATCGTGTCTCATGTATCCTTGGCTTGTAATTAAACTTTGCTTGTACTATTCTACTGTCGTCTTTTGCATATGTGAGATGCTTATTTATCCACCACAGTATTGTCGCTTTAGAATACTGCCGTGGTGAAGCCAAAAAGCACTGTTATCAATATGCAGGTAATCATTAGTCCTGCTTTACAGAGAGAAGCATGGAGTATGAGTAACCTTTATAACACTATGTTTTGAAGTCAGTGGTGGAGGTGAGAGCTAAAGATCGATTTTAAATGTCTTTGAGCGTTATTCCAGCTACAGGACTACTAATGTGGGATTTTTGAAGTTTTTTTGTTTTTTTGTTTTTGTTTTTTTTGTCCCTCTCCTTCACTGTTACATTCCTTTATGTTTCCCCCACCCCAAACCCGCTCTTGTCAGATATTTAATATGAAGAAAGCTGTCCTAGCACAGCAGTTTCTGTGTCGTTAACAAGTATTTGTTATCTGGCTTCCTTCTCTCTGCCTTTAACACTTCGGCCTCC